CTGGGCCAGTTTTTTCTTCCCCAGAGCTCACAAAGAGAGCCATCTGTCCAGTTCCAGGTGGAACGGTCTCACGCCTCTCTTCCTGGAGTGTGAATCAATGAGGCTTTCCCCGTCTCTCCTTCTTGTGGGGTTTCCATGGGAATCCTCCCACGCGTGACTTAGCCAGGAGCCCCCATAGCAGAAGCTTTGGCGGCCAGCCAGCAAGGAGATTAGCAGATGGGATGAAGGTCTGCTGGGCAGTGACAGGGCCAGTGTGCTTTGCAAGGTCATTTGAAAGAGACGCACCTAAGAGACAGCGAGACCAGAGGCCTTACGCCCACGTGCAGCCCTGGCAGCCTCCTGCTGCGGCAGCTGTCCCTGTGCCCAGAGGGCTGCCCAGACACGCGTGGGTTGGTCTGCAGGACAGCTGGCCTCTGGGAGGCCCTGCGTGACTCAGGTCGGAGCCAAGCTCCCAGACAGGGGGTGGGAGCAGGTGCACATAATGGGACCCTCTGGGGAAAACATCTATAAAGAAAATGCAATAATCTCACAGTACCACAGGCACAATAAGCATCTTGCCCCTATATTCCTCCCAGCCTGAACTTGGTGTAACTGGTTATCTGAAAATTCAGGATGCTCAAAAGAAATCAAAAGTACTCATGCCTCAGACTTGATTGAAGAAATCCTAACAGGGACCTGCTAGGATTTCTGAAGGTCCTGCTGTTAAATCTGAGACATTTCTGAAAGCACCTTTGAGATATTGGTGGGCTGGAGGGACACCTGAGGGAAGATCATGACGAGTCCAGGGAGATCCAGACAATCAGAACCCAGGAAATTGTGAATGGTGGCTGACAGGTGAGACACCTCCATGATCTGGCCTGGCCTTTCCACCTGAGAAGCAGATCTCTGGGGTCACCATGAATGACACGTCACAGCACTAAATGACAAGTCACAGGTGGGGATGTTGGAGTTGTTCTGGGCCTCAGCCTCTGCATGCGACAGCAAACAGTGGTTCTCAGGACAACTTCCTGCTGCCTCCTAGTGCCAGGGACAACCTTGCCTGTACCACAAATGGGACCATCTTGGTCACCGCTCTCTTTCTTTCTCTTTCTCTCTCTCTCCATTTCCTCCTGTGACGAGAATCCTTAGCTGGAAGTTTCCAGTCACCCCAGACTAGATGCTCCTTCAAACAGCCTTGTAAAACCATCTGCCTGTTCCACCATAACCCCTCCCCATGGTCACGTCCCCCCTCTAGGTGTCAGACATCTGGGGACTCATGATGCTATAGAATCCACACACTCCAGTTGACTCCTTCCTTCTCCCAAATACCAGGTTTCTCTGCATCCGCCTGTCTCTTGGTCTCCCTCACTCAGCATCTTCAGTTTTCCCTTATCTAGGTGACTGCAACAGTCTTCTAACAGGGCTCCCTGACTCCAGTCTGCACTCCCCAACCCACCCTCCACGCTGCCAAGGTGTAGATGTGAACAAGCTGCCTACTCATCTGCTCTTTCAACACTTCGTGTGGCTTCTCCAGAGAGAAGTTGCATCCCCTGGCTCAGCTCACAGAATCTGTAAGGCCTGCTCTTGCTTATTTCTCTCATCCCTGTCTCCCAGCATGGCCACCAGTCTGGTCACACCAGACTCCCCTCAGGTACCACATCCTGCCCAGACCTCAGTGTCCTGGAAGACTTGCATCTCCCCTGGCCTAGTGACACTCACTCACCCTGCCCCAGCCCCAAGCAACAGGCATCCTCCGTGGCGGCAGCCATTGCCATACATCCTCGTCTTGTCAGCAGATTCCTGCGTCTGTCTTCTGTGCCACAAGCTTCTTTCTTGCTGGGAGCACCAGCCCTGGCCCAACTAACCTCTGCCTCAGCAGCACCAGCACAACCCTTCGGCACAACCCTTGCCACCTCTGTCTAAACTCAACAGCACTTGGCAGACTGCAGAGGAATACTCTCGCTACACCTCCTGTACAATTTGCATTTGTAGCAACAAACTTTTTTTTCATAATTAAAGTACACATCTCACTTGATGATTATTAAGTCCTAAACTCAATGTGTGAAGTGAAAAGTCATATCAGTCAACACTGCCCTGCAAAGTCCTTCTGAAGGTCCATGAGGTTCACGAGACCTGATATGAATTCACCTTCCTCTTTCCCAAAGGGTTTAGTATTGACAATTTTTTTTTCCTACAGTCTCAGAACAGATCCTTATTTCTTGAGCCAGGCAGCAGTGGAAAAACAGACTATCTAGGGACTATGTTTTATTAAAAATGCGTTGCTATTTTTTTTTTGTTGATCATTTTTGGCCTAATATTTGCAGTATAGTCACATAAGTGCATGTATTTATGTGCTTTTTTTTTTTAAGTAACTATGAATCAGATTTCTGATAATTTTGTTCCTGGTTCCACCACCCACCTGATTTTCAATATTGAGTGGCCTGTCCTAGCTGGTGGACCGCCAGAGACCCATTTTTCCTGTACCAACAGAGAAGGGATCTTTCAAGAGCCTAGCTATGTGACAATAGGCCAGGCAAGTGAGGGAAAACTGAGTAGTCCCTGTGTGGTGAGTTGTGCTAGGTCTTTTCCCAGAGGAGCTTTGCACTGGCCCAGGCCTTGGTCACCTTCTGGGATAGGAATAAAACCCCCAAGAACAGGCCTGCCAAAACGAGGGGAAGAAGACAGTCTTAAGAAAAATCAAGGGGAATAGTAGACTAGGTAGGGGAAACAGCAAATGAAAAAAAATTCTTGGAGTATTCGAGCAAAAACCAAACATGCCAGGAAGTGTAGGGTAATGCAAGGAAGATGGAGAGAAAGGGTTGGAGGGGTCAGGACCCAAACCTGCAGGGCATCCAGACTTCACTCTCTGGCAGCAATGAGATGGTTCTAAGGTAGGGAAGGATTTGATCTATTTACATTTTAAAAGGATGTTTCTGATCAATGCATAATTATTACTATCTGACGCAAAAAAAAAAACTTACTGTAGTTTTAACCTGCATTTTTTTCTTATTGAGTGAAATAAAGCAGATTATTTTGTTTGAGTGTTATCACAATTTTATTTTGTGTGTATAAACTGTTTATAATTTTTGTCCCCTTTTGGTTTTTTGTTGGCTGACTTGAGCAACTTCTTACACATTAAAGAGATGAACCCTTTGTGATAGGAATGACAATGCTTTCTCCAGTCTGTCATATGCCTTTTGACTGTGGTGATTTCTTTTCCCTGCAGATTTTCTTTTTAAGTAATTTATCAGTCTTTGAAATAAAGTAGAAATATAAACTGGAGAGAGATTTGAGTGGCACAGTCAGCAAGTCAGATTTCGTTTGATGTTAGCCAGAGGTGGCTTAAATTCCCTTTACTACCACTTTCAAACCAAGTTTTTAAAAATGGAATTTATCAGAGGGTAAGTGTCTCCAAGGAATATGCCCCTGTGGAAGGCATGTTTATGTCATGCCTTTGTAACCAAATGGATTAATCAGCAGTGTTTAATAAATAAAAGTATTGGGGGATAAGGAAGGATCTGGGACCAGACAGGGTGACGTAAGCTGCAGGATTTTGGTTGGAGGGAAACAGAGTGTGAGGGGGAGAGAGAGAGAGACAGACAGAGAGACAGAGAGAGAGAGACACCAAGAGAGAGCCACAGAAATCTAGTGCACCGATCTCTTCCTCCTGTGCAGGGTGGAGCTGAGAGAAGGCAGATCCTGGGTTCTCCTTTTAATTGGCATAACTTTTTGCATCTTCTGATTTAGACTCATCAAATTGCAGGGGGGCAAAAGGTGGGTGGAAGGATTGGGTTTGGGGAGGCTCAGATTCCTGGAGAAAATTACCTTCACCCTCAAACGCACTGTGAAGGAAGATGAGGTAAATAAGTGAGCCTGGAGACATCAGAGTACTTGTCCAAGGTCACCCAGAGGGCTGGCGGAATTCGAACTCAAGACTGACTCTAGAGCAAAGCTCTGCACCTCCACACCACAGCAGTACACAAGTGCCCTTCTTCCCCTCCCCGTCTACAACAGCCCATTATCCGCCAGCAGGGAAGCCCTAGCAGCCGCTGCTCTACACTCCCTCCACCCGCCTTCTCTCCTGCCGGGAGCCCGAGCAGTTCTGGGCCTGGCGTCCCCGTCTGGCTCCTAGCCGGTGGCGCGTCCTGCGCTACCCCAGCGAACACATTTGCAGCACTCCAGGCTCGCCTCCTCCCTCCTTCCCAGACCCCACCCCCGGCCCCGGACTCGTGGACTCCGAGACCCCCTCCCTTCCTGAGCATTGCCAACTTTGTCTCCAAGCTAGGCCAGGAACTGGCCCCCAGCAGTGCTCCCGGGGCGACCAGTCTCACCGTCCCAGCTTCAACAGTAAATGTTAACAACAGCCACCACTTTACCAGCGCCCACCGTGTGCCATGCACTCGACTTCATTCGTCCTGAATGATTGCCTCCCCGCAACGAATAGATCCCTAGAAATGATTTTCCCTATTATACAGTCGAAGAAGCTGCTGCTGTTCCGGAAAGTTAGATGACAAGCTGGGGCTCACACGACTAATAGTACGGCTAGCTAATATTTGGTTCGGTGCTTCCTTCGTGTCCCGCACAGATCTACAGCACACACGTTACAAATTCCACCCCACAGATCCTACCAATAACCCTCTAAAATGGGAATCGCTGCCATCCCCATCCTACGGATGAGGAAACCGAGGTTCGGCCCCTTGCCCAAGGTCACCAGCCAGTGAGCGACGACCGGTCTTGGACCCAAACCCAGGCAGAGTGACTCGAGAGGCAGTTTTTTATGCGTCTCCTTTACGCAGAGAAGCAGCGGGCTTGGAATCTATGGTTTTAAGTGACGGCCCCAAACGCCCCCAAACTGAGCGCAAGCCTAACAGCTCCAGCTGCCACAAACCGCAGACGCGCATTCCCAGGGATGGAGACCCGAGCGCGGACCGTGGCGAGCGCCCGCCCGCACGAGGTCCTTGTGGCCGGATCTCGACTCCGAGCTCCCGCGCGCCCCTGCCCAGATGCTGGAGAGTACTCACCATAAAAGAGAGGGCAGGAGCCTGCCCTGGTAGACTCGCCAGCGCTGGGAAGTCCTGGGCTCCGGGGACAGACGTCTGCCGCCGCCGCCCACTCAGGGGCGCCCGAGGGACCCCGCAGATGCGGGCTTGCTCCTCGGGGCAAGGGGCACGTCCTCGCGGCTAGTACCCAGATGCAGCGCCCCCTCTGCCCAGCTGGATGGCCTGGAGTTGGAGCGTTCTTGGGGAAGTTGGCGCTCCGGCGCCGGAGATCGGATCCCAGCGGGGAAGAGCCTTCCTGAGCCGACCGCGGGGGCGCGCCGCGGCCCGCGCTCTAGCCTCTTGGAAGCTCAGTGCCGGACCCGAAGGGCGACGAGTCCAGCGCTCAGGGCTCGCGGGCCGCGCCTCGGTCGCCGGCCCCTGGTGCGCCCTGCGTCTTCCCCAGAGTCCTGGGCGCGCGCAGCGGAGGCTGGAGCGGGGGCCCGGGCCGGGGCTGCCGTGCGCTCATCTCCCTCCCCAGGGGCTGGGCGCCTTTGTGCGCCGGGCGCGCCGGCCGCCAGGGCCAGCTCTGGATGCTGCAGCCGTCGCCGCCTCCCCTCCTCCTCCTCCGCTGCCCGCTCCCCGCCTTCCCCGCCGGCCGGGAGGCTGCAGCTGAAAGCCGATCCGGCTGAGCTCATCCCTGAAGGCCACTAATCCAATAGCCGCGGAAGGCGCGGCCGCCGGGAACGCCCCTTCCCCCACCATCCCGCGCCCCGGCCCGTCCCAGCTCCGGCGGCTGCCGGCGCCGCCACCTTCCCGAGGCCACCAGCTGGCGGGAGAGAGAAGTGGAGCCCGCGCCCGCTCCCCTCTGCGGAGTCGCCGCGCGGTCGCCATTCACCCGCCCGCCCGCCCGCCCGCCCGCCGAGCGCTCCCTCCCTCCCTCACGCGCTCATTCATGCGCGCGGGCCTCCCCCGTCCATTCAAGCGCGCGGGGAGCGCCCGGGCGGGGGCCCCTGCGGGGAGGAGAGAGCCGCTGTCACTCGGCAGCTTCGGTGTCTTTCCCCAGCGCACGTGCGAAAAAGCAGCCTGGGAAAGAGGATGGGCCAACACCCGCTTCCGCACACACGCACCAGGCCACACTTCATTTCTGAGGATCAGGCTCCAACTCATCTTTCGAAGTCCAATTTCATACCGCACCTGCTTCACGCGTCCTTCCCCGCCCACCCGGGCCGCGGGCAGGCCTGTCTCTCCTTCCCGCTGACTAGCCGCGCCGCGAGCAGCTTCATTGAGCCCGGAGAGCAGGAGGAGGGCGTGGCCAGAGCCGAGGCTGAGAGCCCGGTTCTCGCGTCCGTGCTTCCTCGGGGAAATTGAAAGTTCCTGCCCTGGGTGCCCTTGTCTTTGCTCCCTGAGTTGGCTTCTCTGGTTGACACCAGGCAAAAGAGCAGAGATGCAGAACCCCCATTTCACCGGGGACACAGACAAGACAACCCAACCCAGGAAGAGATGGTTTGATGGAGGTTCCTTTCCCAGACGTGGAAGCGCCATCTGAAAATGCTTCCCTGAGGAGACGGCTGCATGGATGAGACGCAGGAGGACAGGCTAGACCCCTGGGTGCAGAGCCTATGATATGTCTGGCGGGTGAACTTTCAGGAGATGGTAGATGGAGCTGGAGGAATAAGGGCTACCATCGTGAGAGCACTCCAAAGAATTTGGCCTCACCATAAATTCAGTTGGGTAGATCTTAAACCAGGATAATGCCTTTGTCAGACATACATCTAAGAAGATATCTCAGCAGCAAAGCAATGGATGGGTGGAGAAAACCACAGTGGAAGCAACAGAAATTGCCCAAGCAAAAGATAACCCTTCCTGAACCAGGGAAGCCATCGTGGGGTGACAAAAGGGGGCACTGACCAAGCGCTGCACTTACACTACTGTTTTGTCATAATTTGCATGTCTGTCTCCCTCCGAGGACTATTAGCCTCCTGAGGGCGAGTATCTGTATACCTTACACATTTTTGGATCACTGTACCCAGAACAGAACAGATAACAAGGGCACTGGGAATTTATACCTAGGGAGCAGGGCAGGGGTCAGTAGTTGGAAAATTACTAAGAGAAAACATCTGGGTAAAAAAGATTCTTGCTAGACTAATTCAACAGGGTTCTTGCTGAAGGCTGGTTAAGGTGAGGGATGTGGACTTTGATGAGATATCAAGAGTGGTTAGAAGCTAACTCAGTTTAGCCCTTTGGGGGGTTGTCCCTAAATTTACATAGCAAGATTATCTCTGAAACTGGATTCCACAAGGATGGGAGGTCTAAAGTCAGAGCAAGCTGAGCAGAGGAGCCTGATTAAGTTTAGTCAAAGGAAAAAATCTCTGTCAGCAATTTATTTTCCTGCTCTTTTCAGGGGATGTTTGGACTGATACTAGTTGGGGACTATTATGAACAGTAATGCTACAAACATTTTTGAACAGGTCACTAGTACATCTGTGCTCATTCCCTTATTTTCTTGGGCCTATTCTTAGGAGTGAGATTGTTGATTCACTGTCTATCATTGGTTGGTCCATCAGAATGAAATGCTAAAAACTTGATCCTCTACATCATATGTCATGAGGGAATGCAAATTAAAACGATAATGAGATAATACTACATACCTATTAGAATGGCCAAAATCCAGAACTTCAACAGCACTCAGTGCTGATGCAGATGTGGAACCAGGAATTTTCATTCATTGCTGCTAGGAATGCAAAAGTGTATTACTACTTTGGAAGACAGCTTGGCAGTTTAACAAAACTGAAATACTCTTTTATCATATGATTCAGCAATGGTGCTTCTTGGTTATATTTACCCAGAGGAGCTGAAAATTTAAGTCCACACAAAAACCTACATATAGATGTTTACGGCAGCTTTATTCAATATTGCCCAAATTTTGAAGCAACCAAGTAGGCGAAGGAATAAACTGTGGTACATCCATACATTGAGATATTATTCAGTGCTAAAAACAAGTGAGCTATCAAGGTATGGAAAGACATGGAGGAAACATAAATACATATTACTTAGTGAAAGAGGCCAAACTGAAAAGGCTGCAAACCATATGATTCCAATGATAGGACATTCTAGAAAAGGCAAAACTAAGGAGACAGTATCAGCTTGAGGAAATCCCCACCACATGAACCTGGATAGGCAACAGAGTTACTTTCTACTGGTGGACATAAAGTCCAGTTCTTAGTCATGGCTCCCAAATTTCATGTAAATCCTCTTCATATTTTGTTCTTGGTAAAGTTGAACAACTCCTCCTTCATTCCCTAGCTTTCCTTGCCACTGGATACAGATGTGATCCTGACTCTGCCAGACACATCAGCCTGATTAAGAAGCAAGCTACAGGGCCTCCCCGGTGGCGCAGCGGTTGAGCGTTGGGTTGCAAAGCTGCCCGCAGCCTCTACAGCGCCGGTTCGATCCGTTCGATCCCCGGCTGCTCCCCGGCCACTGGAGGAGGGTCCTCCCAGGCCACTGGAGGCCACTGGAGGCCACTGGAGGAGGATCCCGCATGGCACGCAGACTTCTCCTGCCGCCCACTGCTCCCCTCCGCAGTGTACTTCAGTCCTGCCTGCTCTGCTCCCCGCTCCCCGCTCTGGCTCTGGTGAAGTCTCTCACCCTCCCGCCCTTCTGACTGTACCCAGTGCTTGTATAAATAAATAAATCTTTTTTTTTTTTTTAAAGCAAGCTACATGAGGAAACTCTCTAGAATGAGGGTGTCCATTTAGGCTGGCACTTCTAGGGAAGTAGGGACAGCTCTTTCCTGCATTAGTGGCAGCTTTCTGATTTCACTGTGGCATAAACTCTCTTGCCAGGTTGCTTCTGCAGTATATTCACAGGGATTTTCCTGAAATCTCAATCCAGAGCCTAGATTTTGTTGAGGAGGAAGCTAATCATCCTCTACCCTTGTAGATCCTTGGGCTGGAAAATAAATAAATTGGCATCAGAGAAATAAGCAAGGAAAAAGACATTGCCTTCTGGTTATTCCAGGGAAGTTATACCATCTCTAGAAAGGGAGCAGCAGAATCAGGAGGGCAAAATGGAAAAAAGAACTTTTCAATTTAAATAAAAAAGAATTTTGCAGGGCTTATCTACACATACATCAAAAATCAGACCATGCAAGTCTTAGCCATGGGAGATAAGGCTGGACGGTTGTCCCAACCTTCTGGACCATCTGAGATTTCCTGGTTTTAGGGCGATAATTAGGCAAAATAAGCATTCTTGGACCTCCGTCTCATAATCAGTATGCCACTCAGATACGTCCTGGGGCAGCCTGTCTTTGGGCCCAACATTTTCAACAATCTCAGTGACTCAGTAGTATCTGTCTCACTAAATCTCCTGCTGGAGTAGATGAAGTGGATTCTATTGTTGGCAACAAAGAACACTATCTATTACCTTCCCTTTTCCAGGTTTCCTGACAGTTTGGCCAATCAGAACTTCCCTCTTAGGTCTTTAAACCTGGAACCAGTCACTCATAAAAGCAAGGATGACAGGGCCTCCCTGGTGGCACAAGGGGTTAAGCACAGCACTGTGAAACTATCTGCAGCCTCTGCAGCACGAGTTTGATACCCAGCCTGCCCTGCCAGGGAGCTAGATCCCCTGACCTCTCCTGTCTTGCCCATTGCTCCCCTCAGCAGTGTATTTCAGTCAGTCTGCCTGTTCTGGTCCCCACTCTGTCTCCGGTGAATACTCTTACCCCGTCTCCGCACCTCTGGCCTGTATCCCAGTTCTTGTATGTATTAAAAAAAAAAAATCTTTTTTTAAAAAGCAAGGATGATGGAGAATCCCTTTTGATGAGGGCAGGGTTGGCAGCAGCAACATCCAGACCCAGGGAGCGCATTAGCTGCGGTGTTCACACTGTGCTGGGCGTCAGTACTGGGAGTGGCAGCAAGGTCTCCACAGAATTGAGTTTGGGGCATGATTCCAGTTGTGGTTCTGCTGCCCTACATTTGCTGTTGATTTTGTTGTTGTCGTCATTGTTTCTCCCTGATTCTTTCTGGATCTAGTTCTCCAAGCTTCCCAGTCATCCTGTGATTTCCCAATTTTCTTTCTTTTTGAGTGTGTTCTTACAATGAATTGCATTGATTGAATTTTGAATATGGAACTAACTTTGCATTCCTGGGATAAAGTCTACCTGGTCATGATGTATTAACATTTTAATGTATTGTTAATGGTTCCATTTGTACCTATGTACGCAAGGGCTATTGGTCTCTGCTTTTTTTCCCCTTGTAATATCTTTGCCTGACTTTGGCATCAAATTAATAATGCTGCTCTTCAAGAATGAGTTAAGAAATGTTCCTTTCCTTCTATTTTCTAGAGGAGTTTTTATAGAATTTGGTATTATTTCCTCCTTAAATGTTTCAGAGAATTTACCAGTGATGTGTCCCTAGAGCTTTCTTTGTGAGAGATTTGGAAATAGATTATTTCTTTAATACGTAGAAAGATATTCTAGTTGTTTCTTTTTAAATAAGCTATGGTAATGTATATCTTTCTAGACATTTTTACATCTCATCTAATTATTGAATATATTAGACTTTTAATACAAGTTTTATTTGTAGGGATATCACCTCCCTTATTTCTGAAATTGATAATTTGGTAATTTGAATCTCTCTTTTTAAAATCTGAGTTTTCATTCTGGCTAGCAGCTTACCA